ATTTACAGAGGCGACTGCATTCAAAATGCTAGTCTAAATTTTGTTAACTTGTATGGATTTTGTATCTCTCATACCTACGAATTATTAATCTGCCTGACACTCCTTCTGCATTAGTCATAATTAATGTCGGTCGTAATGATATTATGATAGTATTGAATATATTGTGGTAATATTTCACTCTGTAATAATTTAAATTGAGAGTTACACTTATCGGGAAGGAAGAAGTATCATATTTTAAATAGACACATTTCATTGTAGAACTCGTTTGGTTTGGTTTAAACGATATTGTGGTAGAAGGCAATTGGGTGTTTGTGGATGGTGAACCAATTGGATATTCTAACTGGCACTGGGCTTGGCCAAAGGTTGATGTCAACAAAAATTGTGGACTTTTGTAAGTAGAACAAATTCACTTCTCAATAACAAATAATGTCAAGCATAAATATCTAATTGAGTTATTATATATTATTATACATCTGTCACCGTAACGCCATAAATTACATCGTGCCGTAATTTTGCGGTATTTTAAAGGTTTCATCCTACAATAGATGGAAATACGATTTCCAAATATGGAATGATTGCGCGCATAAGCGTTGTCTAATAATAAAAACAAACACGGCTACCACAAGGGTTTGACCGGATTTATAAAGAAAACTTGTTGGATTTAGGCCTCCCCATGAAGTATCATTGGGGGAAAAAGGTGTATAACAATAAGGTTATTACGAGGATACAGCAGAGTATGCACTCAGACAGTACACCGTCGCACCAACCTCCGCTGTGCGTCGGTCGATATTCCCGCAGTACTGTCTTCGTGCATATTTTGAGGTATCCTCGTAATAACCTCATATTATTGAACTAATTTGTATATATATATTATATATGCTACTGGATATGGGGTGAGAATACCGTCAAAATTAGCTTGCTGTCAGTCATTATTTGAACATTGTTTAGTTGTTTGGTCTTTATATGGAAACTTGTTTAATTATTATTTGGTCATTATTCAGTTATTTGGTCTTTATTTAAACATTATTTTGCGCTTATTCCATTATTGTGTTATTACTGCAGCATCGTATTGCTATTGTTTAATTATTTCAACTTTATTTATTAATTATTTCATTATTGTGTAATTGCTACAATATCATCTTGTCATTATTTCATTATGATACAATTGTGTCGTTATTTAGACTTTATCTTGACATTCAATTGTCATAAGATTCTGTTATTTTCACTTCCAAATGTCTTGACATTCGGTTCGCTTGACTTGCGATTACCTCAACATTCGGTTCGCTTGACTTGCGATTACATAAACATTCGATTACCTGACCTACATTAGCTGACCCCGCTATACAAGTAATATTCAATCCATAGTTCCGGGCCGCCTCCGATAAAGCATGACTCATGATGGCAATGTAGCCTTTGTAAAAGTTAGCGGGAATTTCAAAATGATGGCCGTTTCATCAACATCCAGGAAACTGACTGAGGTCGTCAGAGCCTGTCGTGACGAAATATCAAATGCCGCAAAACTTTTTGTTGACACGACGCGCTCCTAGCGAAATTCGCGAGAGATGATCCGACTTTATCATCAGATGATGACCAGAATGTGCCAAGAGCCAATCACAAGACTGGTTACCGTGTCGTGAACTCGCGAAATTTGAAAATTTGAAAGTGCAACTAATATTTTTCAAGCTGGTATTTTTTTTATAGATTTTATTTTTCATTCTTTTCGCCTGTTTTTCCAGTTTAAAAATATTAGCGATATAGAGCCTTTATCTCTTGTCTATTTGTAATACACTAGATACCAGCCGATCACGACCCCCTTGCTCATAGGTACCGCGTACAGTTTATTATAGTTCCTTGACTCCATGTGGTCTAAGCTGTGAAAAGTGAAATTAATAATTCGTTTCTGGTGACAAGGCAGCTAGTTGGAACTGGCGCCGGCATTACTAATGTATTACAATCATGCAGGACTGTGTTACAATCAGGTGCGGCCAATGGAGCTGTTCTTCGGAAAATCTGTTCCTTGTTGAGGGCAGGGTATGTGTTCTACTTTTTTAAGGTCGGGAAATATCAGTACCCCCCCCCCTAGTGGGCAGGCAAATTTCTTAAAACAATGGAAGGATAGGGAAACTGTTTTTAGTGGGTAGGGCACTTACATAAAAAATATCGCAGGGTGGGCAAAACAGCCTTTAATGTAGGGTATAATAAAAACACGCATTGGGGGAAATAACAGCGAAAATTAATTCCACCTAAAATAAAGTATTTTACTCTATATCAACTAGTTTTTTCGAGCCCGAAATAAGATACTAGTTGTTGACCCTAAAGTACTCCTAACCCTAAGTCATAACATCTCAGACTACTATAGTAACATTGACATGCGTGCATCGGTGTTTTTTTTTTATTTCTTCCAAAAGTTTAGGGACAGGGAAAAACACGCAGAAATATTTTTTCCTTGTTTATACTCCACACAAAGAGTAATGTGTCATTCGTGGCGAGTATGTGTGACAGTTTATTACTTCTGTGTGAATATAATAAAATTTTGTAATTTTTGGTACGGTATCACTCCTTTGGGAAGATATGGTGGCCCAGAAAAGGACCGTTTAGTCTAGTTTCGTTAGAAAACGATATGAATTTACTCCAATCTATGACCCGCGTATATGTGTGTGTGTGTGTTGGGGGGGGTCGATCTTCTTAGCAGTACTGAAACGGACATGTCGTGAAAATTACAACTCAACCTCGATTTATTCTTCAATTGCATACCTACACAGTGGCAGCGGCAGCAGACGCCCCACGAAGAAAATGTTGGGTGGTAGCCCCTCCAAAATCAAGCGGAAACCCTTTGTGTCAGCAAAATTGTTCCCTCAAAATGCAGGAAATAGCGTTTTAGAGGGTCTAGAATCCAATTTTTTGCATGTCCCCGGACTCCCTAGCGGTTGTGAGCAGATCTATCCCCCCATTCAAAATTTCGTGCCGCCCCATCTGAATTACAGATGTGAACTAAAACGAGTGCCAAAAACGTACAACGTTGCCATAGATCCCGTCGAGTAAAAATTTTTAGGGCGGAGGCGTTCTCATTGACAGAATAGAAAAACGGTGTTTACTCCGATGTTCGAACAAATATTGGCCAAATTAATGCTCGGTGTGCTTACTAGTAGTTTCCCATAGGATTACATGCATAAAATTAAATACGGAGAAAACATATGGTTATGAAATGATGATTCTAAGAAGTATACTGTTAATACATGTGATATGAATAAACACAAACATACATTATTCTATAAACCGACAAAGGTTATATATAAAGATCGATAAAATGAGGGAATCATGCCCACACATACTGATAATTCTGGAAATGAGGTTAATACATTGTGTGGTGATACTGAGCAGCAAAAGTTTATAACCAGTTTAGAACCTTGTGCAGCAAGCAAAATTTCACAGTAACAACTGCAACCCAGTTTATTTAGTGCATGGCGCAACTTGCATTTCAATGGAATTCATCGCCCCATCTACTAAATAGCGAATTTCTAGTCGACTAC